AGAGAGAGAGAGAGAGAGAGAGAGAGAGAGAGAGAGAGAGAGAGAGAGATGCGAGGACTGAGCCCTCACGGGGCCCCAACAGACATGCAATTGTTCTCAGCTGTGGGCCCCAGCAAGCATTGTGCCCACCCTGAGTGAAGGTGGGACTGAATATCCTCAAAAGGCCTACTTTCGACATTTTCCAGATGTGGGTACTCAGACAGTTGCAGCACGCCAGTTGGTTACAGAGAAATGTGAGCCTCCAGGCTCTTTCCAGTAACAAGGGCTGCGCTGTACAGTTGAGCCCAGGGCTGGGTGGTTGTGCCCTGGGCACACACAGTGTGAGGCTGACACATCACGCAGCGGCCACGGACGAATGAGAAAGCAGCATTGTCGTCACACAATCTCCGCGAGCCTATGAGAATGCGGCCAACACTTGGAGCCTGAAAGGCTACCCCTATGTGCCCAACCGAAAAGGGCCCAGGCCCTTAACTGTAGAAGTGGGCCTGGGCGCAGACACTGGGGCCCGACTGGAAGCTACTGGAAACTTCCCCAGCCAGGCCCACGCAGACACACACAGGGGCTGCACTTTCCATAAAGGAAAGAGGCCAGCCCAGGCAAATGCATTCGGGCCTTAGCAGGCAATGCGGACACGCTGCTACACTAGCGTCTGCGTGTGCATCCTGGTCGGACGCACACACGGACACTGAGGTGAAGGGCGCTGTAAGGGCAGCGGGCGCACAGCAGCCATAGCCGGGCTGCAGGGGCGCAAGGTAGGTAATGGCGAAGGTGGACTTCTGGTAGGAGGCGCATGATGTGGGGAGACGAGGGGTGATGACAACAGGAGAGAGAACGTACCTGGTGTATGCTGGTGATCGGCATTGGTGTTGACGTCACGTACATTGGTCTTCAACTTCAGAGTGATCCAGTTGCGAGAACGTAGATAGGCTAGATAGGCTGAGTACGATAGGCTGGGCGCTGGGCGCCAGACAGTAAGTGCGGCATTGGATACAGTGTTGGTATGACCAGCGAGTGGCAACATTTTTGACATTCGAGTTCATTCTATTGCTCTTATTTGGACGGTATCTTGGTGCATTGCACTCTCTGCTCAGTTCATGACTATCTGAGCTACTTCGTGATTTTGGAACTTGGATTTCTGTCTATCGCTCTCGCTGATATTCCTTGCAGAGCCCACTGTAGGTCGAAAAAAAACAGCTCCGAAATGGGAATTGAGATGTCAAATAACACAAGTACATTGAGTACCATCTTTCCATTCCGTATGCTATAAATGAGCATAAAAAGCATCACACACAATACAACACACAGTACAACAAATCTGTACTTTTCTCGGCAAAAAAAAGAAGGGCCCAGAACAAGAACCAGCAAGATAGCTGGCCACAAGCACTCATAGAAACATACTGGCCAATCCCTCGATCCATCCATCGATCCGTCAATCCATCGATCCGTCAGTCCATCCATCCATCCATCCATTGAATTTGTCTGTCTTATGCTGTTTTGTCCCTTCTGCCCTGTCTCTTCTCTCCTTTTCCAGGATGCGCTACCACCATCCCCCGAATAGAATGTACAGTCATTATCCCTGTATTTAGGGCATCTTTCAGTCTAGATACCATGATAATGACCGTACGTTCTACTCGGCTGAAGATGGTAGCCGGGATCCAGGTGCAGGTGAGGTCTGTCCATCCACTCCTAGGTCCAAGCACTGCCAGCTGGCGCCAGCTGGTAAGAGTTCAGAGTTCATTTTTTTGTGTTTTTTTTTTGTTGTTGTTGGACCCTTTCTTGCGCAGGGGCCAGCTATGCCAGGCCATCTTTTCCGATGATCATTTGGCTGTTGGCAGGAGCTATGCTTTTCTTGTATTCCCCTTTTTCGTTTCTTTCCGTTTCTTTCAAAAGGTGTGCAAAGAACCAGCTCAAAATCCGCACAGACAAAGTTTACGGTCGTAGTGTTTCGTCCAAGTCAAGGTTCAGGGCTTAAAAGTCACTTCTCCAGCTGTGGAGGGGTTGCAGAAAGTCCTAGGGCCAACAGGTACCAGGGGGGGTCAAAAGTGTCAAAGGGGGCCACCCATGCCCCTCCCCAAATAACAATAGCGGACTTAAACCACCAGTACATCTTGAGAATCACGAATAAGCCTCTCCGAAAAGTTCGGGGAGTTAGCACAGGGCCCGCCTGGGGGCGGGCCGAAATTGCTTTTTGCTCAGTGCCGTGCCTGGTCCCACCCCAAGTCATGGGACAAGTTTTTTTTCCCACCCACCTGCGGGTTGGCCCTGTCCCGAGCCCCCAAAATTTTAGGAGTGATCAATCACGATTCTCAAGTTGGCTGGGGTCATATACTGATGGTTTGAAGGATAATGAGGACCTGGGCCCAATTAGAAGAAGATGGAGGTAAAAAAGAAAAGGAAAAAAAAAAAGGAGTCGGGCCCAATTCGGGTCAACCAGATACAGAGTCATAGACTTTTCAGGAGTCAACCACGGTCACAGATCTGATGCGCATCAAAGGCTGTCTGCATTATTCCACAAGTTTCCAAGGTCCAATGGGTCCAGGACTCCAGGCACACACTGGCCGACAGCAAATCTGGGCCATCAGGATCAAGAAATCTCAGCCGCACAAGCAGGCAAACTGAGGCAGGCCAAGGTCGGTCAACACTACAAAAGAGCTGCCTGCCCAAGTTGGCTCATTCATTCTGCATGGCGCTGCTGGACGCTGGAGCCATGCTCGACACAGCGCTGGAGAGGGCAGGAGGAGCTGGCACAGCAGAGAGGAGACAGCGCCAGCAAGTACAGAGAGAGTAGACATAGCCAGAGTAGGGGTGCTCAGCGCCATAGCATAGCCAGAGTAGGGGCGCTCAGCGCCATAGCATAGCCAGAGTAGGGGCGCTCAGCGCCATAGCATAGCCAGAGTAGGGGCACTCAGCGCAATGGCTTGCAGTGGTGGGGGGGGGGAAGAGAGAGAG